TGATATGTCCTTAGCCAATTGCACGTACACTAAAATTCGAGGTCGTATTTGAACGAGCACCTTGAAGATGGGACAGATATTCAGTGTTTGACAACGCTTTTACCAGCAACTCCTTCTAATATAATTCGTACCCACCAAGAGAAATCAAAAGACAGAGTCGAGGAGATCGGAAGAGTGTATTTGGCGATTACTAATATATCGAAATTTTCTGATCTAATCTGGCTAGCGATTGCGGTAGATGTTGAGCACAGCGTTACCACACGTGATCTGATGCGGATACATGACCGAGATCCTTCAGCTAGGTGAGTCCACTAAAACTAATCTAGTCAGCATCCAATGTCGAAAACTTACAGAGCTATTTTTTGGGATTTATTTTCCGCTACAACCTATTTGTATATTGACCAAGTTGTTAATATTGTATATATTCTAGCAGGATCTATGGTAATCCTATACAAAATGTGCATTTTATCAGCAATTACAAAACAAATCTTATCCGACGACAAGTTGAAGCCGCTCAAGCGAAATTTCTTGAAGATATGTATCTACCCTAGCCAAATGCACGTCTTGTAAACTTATGGAGTTAATATCTGTAGACCTCATAGAACTAACCCGGGTCACACTTTATCACATGCCATTTACACTGTGTGACGACAAGCTTCCTGTCACTGTAAAATCGTATTACTGAAATCATCTCTAGAAACCATCGTATACAACCTTCTTACACTGCTACGCGCGCTATCTCAAAAGGACAGTGGTATTGTTTCTCGTTGAATTAGTTAACTGTTTTGATCGTAAATTACGTATCAAAACTACGATTTACACTTTAATTGAACCTACTACAGTTAAAGTGATATTCTATTGAGTTTTTTTGGCTGTTGTGTATTTATTACATTCGAAGCATTCTTGGTCTGTATCAAAGTACTTTAGTTAAGGTTTGAAATCTTTCTAAAGTTTGTCTTGTGGCAACCTTTTATTCGTTGACTGACATTTGTGTTCATACTGTGATCATATTGTGTGTTACACCTTGATCAGACTAAAATGGTTGGTAGTACTCACAAATGTGGACAACCAAACTGTTTGTTCCCTGTGGAGGAGGGAATGCAGTGTGACGAATGCAATAAGTGGTTCCACAAAATGTGCACCCGTTTAAGTCCCACCTCATACAAAAGATGTTCGAAGCCTAACTCACATTGGCTTTGCATGTTTTGCTGTGCCAACAAGGCATTACTAATACAGGAGGCTATGAGCCTATTGGCTTTGGCCTGTAAGAAGAACGATGGCATATGCGCTGACAACACGGGCACTGACAGTGACGAATGTGTCAGTGTAGTACCTGCTGTTACGCGACGCCTCAAACAACCGACTGTGACCGACGTAAAAGTGAAATCTTCGTTGACATTAACAGGGGGAGTAGTACCACCTGGTACTGACATTGTTAATAATGCACCTTTAGTGGGAACCGAAGATCTGGATAAAACAGTCACCGTTCCAAATAGTCCCAGTGTTATGAGGGATGAAAAATGGACTACGGTACGTAGGAAACGAAACGAAAAAAAAACGGCTGTAAGCAGTACACAGGTAGTTAGTAACTCACTGGTGGACTCAAATTGTGAGCCACAAATTGCACTACCAAGATCTGATGGTAAGAGTGAAACCCATCCTGGCGCGACTGAGAAGAAAAATCTAATAACATCGAATATTATTGTGAGCAAATTGCGGGAGTCAAACGACCCTGATCCGAAAATTAGACACGCGCATGACTTAGAAAAGCTAGGAGAATACATTCGTAGTATTTTACCAGATAACTCCAAAGGAGTTCAGGTTAAAAAATTGGTAAGAATAGGCAAGAGGACCGAGGACAATGTTGAACCCCGTCCATGCAGACTCCTTAAGGTAATCCTAGGATCGGAGAAGCAACGGGATCTCTTGTTAAGTAGCGCTCGTTGTCACGACAATTCTGACATCCGAGTTAGACCTGACATATCTCTCGAAGATAGAATAAAAAGGAAGAAAGCACTAGCTGAACTTGAAACCCGTCGGCAAAACGGCGAGGAAAATCTCCGGCTAGTGGGTTTTCGGATAGTCAGGTCTTGGAAGCGAATGCTACCAAGGCCTGTGTGGATAGGCTGTTCTACTTAGGAGTTTTATATGCCAACGCTCGTAGTCTACGAAATAAGTTCTATGAACTAGAAGCACTAGTGGACAGGTTAAAGCCACTCATAGTAGCAGTGACAGAAACTTGGTTAGTCGATGACTTAGACATTACTCCAGAATTATCCGGATACCATTGCATCAGGAGTGATAGACATAGATGTAGGAAAGGAGGCGGCGTCCTGTTATACATAGCCAATAGCATAAATATCCGCTCCTCTACTAGCGAATCCCATGATAGCGGCACTTGTGAAGTCATTAGCTGTAAGTTGGCTATAGGATGTAGTACATTTATGCTAGGTGTCATCTATCGGAGCCCAATCTGCCTAGCTGATGACTTTGTTTTAGAGCACATTCATCTTTGGAGTGAAAATACCAGATGTTTGATAATAGGAGACTTTAACGCACCTGATATTAGTTGGACTGATATGACCACAGAAGGATCTATAAACTCCTTTGATAGTAAGTTCCTGATAACAATAATGGAGCATGCACTAGTACAGCATGTATCCCAACCCACACGTTTTGGTGTTAACCAGGGTTCTTCTCTGCTGGATTTGGTAATCACTCATGAGACTGAGGATATTGTCGACTTAAATATTCTCCCGCCGTTAGTGAACAGCGATCACGCTGTTTTGTCATTCACGTTTCGAACTAGGGACATGTTATACGATCAGGTTACACCTCGCCCAAATGTATGGAAAGCTAACATATCAGCCATTCAGGAATGTGCTGCTAAGACAGATTGGTTAGTAGATACTAGCATATCAGTTGAAGAAGCATGGTCTGTATTTAAAGGTAAATTTAGACTAGTTACGTCCCCGTTCATACCATACCTGGTACCGCGAAGACCGAATAATAGTCCACCATGGATAACTAAAACGGTCAGGAAACTCCTTAGAAAAAGGAAGAATCACTGGAATATGTTCATCTCTACTGGCTTAGAACAATACAGATCCAGTTATTGTAAGATTAGGAATGCCTGTAAAGCGTTAATAAGCAAGACTAGACTATCATACGAAAAACAATTGGTTAGGGATTCTAGATATAGTCCGAAACGGTTATTCTCGTATATAAAAAGGCGAACTAAGAGAAGCGATGGAATTCCATCACTTTTGATACGAGAAATCCGTTAATCTTAGCAGAGAATGATGCCGAAAAAGCTGAAGCTTTATCGGAATATTTTAGTAAAGTGTTTTCTATCGGTAATGAGGAACGACCAATGATTCGTCGCGACCGTGACGGCTCGCTGATGGATCCTGTAGTCATTGAGAAAGATACTGTTTTAAGGCTACTTCAGCATCTCAAACCTGATAAGTCCAGTGGTCCTGATGATATTCATCCTAGGATTATGAAAGCCATATCAGATGAAATTGCTGAACCATTAGCGATACTATTCGACATGTCTCTGAGACAGTCCAGACTTCCTAGAGACTGGAAAGACGCCATAATAAGTCCGGTGTATAAGGCTGGGAGTAGGGATTTAGTTAGTAACTATAGACCCGTTAGCTTAACTAGTGCAGTTGTAAAACTGATGGAGAAAATCATTCGGATAGCTGTTATAAACTATGTTGAAGGGCAAAATCTTTTCTCCAGGGCACAACATGGTTTTCGGAAAGGCCTATCTTGCTTGACAAATCTTCTCATTGCACGAGAAGATTGGGCTGCGGCAAAGGATCGGAATGCTCCTGTGGATGTGATTTTCATAGATCTAAGTAAAGCCTTTGATAAGGTTTCCCACTCTGGTCTTAAATTCAAACTGAAACGTTTTGGAATCCATTATACAGTCGTCGATTGGATAAGTAACTTTCTCCATGACAGGAGACAAAGGGTAAGGGTTAATGGGGCTCTCTCCTCGTGGGTACCTGTAAAAAGTGGGGTTCCCCAAGGTACAATCCTAGGTCCTCTTCTCTTTTTACTTTATGTAAATGAATTGCCAACTGTAGCAAAATCATCCGTTCTACTCTTCGCTGATGACATAAAGATTTGGAGACCCATACATAGTATGTCGGATAGAATAGTATTACAGGACGATCTTAGCTCATTGGTGGCATGGTTAGACAGGTGGTCACTAGAAGTAAATCCTAATAAGAGTGTAGTGATGCAGTTAAATAACTCTGATGAATCGTATGACTATACACTACGTGGATTCGTGCTACCCAAAGCAAGAAACTATAAAGATTTAGGAGTCATATTAAGCAATGATCTCAAAACGACTAGTCACTGTAAGGCTGCTGCTGCAAAAGGCTATAGGGTATTATGGTCAATTCGTAGGTCTTTCCAGTATTTAGATGATGAAATGTTTAGATTACTATACCCGATTTATGTGCGACCACATTTAGAATACGGGATTCAAGCAGCGTGTCCTTGTTTCAAATATGAAGCAGATATGCTAGAAAGAGTCCAACGACGAGCTACTAAGATGGTACAAGGTCTATCTGGCCTATCTTATGAAGACAGACTGAGACACCTTAACTTATTTCCGTTATCTTACCGTAGAATACGGGGTGATCTAATATTGGCCTATCGTATACTGAACGATGACCTTGGTATTAACATGTCTTATCTTTTGCTTCCGTCTAGAACCGATCATTTGAGAGGACATTCGAAGAAAGTTCAAAAACCGAGATCAAACCGTTTACGTCTGGAGTTCCGTTTCTCGCACCGAGTAGTGAATTACTGGAATTCTCTACCGGAACACGTAATATCAGCACCGTCTGTTAATATATTCAAAACGAGATTGGACCTCCACAGTATTACAAACTGCAAGGATTAATATAGGTCGACAGACCTCCTATCCTTACTACTGAAGACTGAAGACTATAGTAGTTGCTGAGCACCAAGAACGCGGGAAAATGATAATCTAAAAGCAAAGGAAGAAAGGAATGTACACAAGTAACAGTAGTCACGAGAGATAAGCAAGTAAAACCCTGAACCCCAGATGTATTTATGGCACTTAAAAAAATGTAGTTGAAAAAAATAGAACTGAACGTGTTGAAAACTTGGAAACTTAAAAATATTGTTTTGTGCTCGAATGGGCTATCTGTCTTCAAGGTCAGGAGTGTGATTTGCATCCTCATAAAACTATACTTCACGGACGAGCCAGTCAAAATCGCGAATGTGAAATTCAAGTATCATGTGTAACAAGCAGCAAAAGCTCTTTTGCATGCTGCTAGAAATCCTTAGAAAATATCGTAAACTCACTTTTATCTATCATTGATTAACGTTAATCTATCAATTGATACTGTTAAATCATCACATGCCTTTTTTGTCTCTTTAAATTGAGTATATGTACCCCTGAATGAAAAACCCTACTTTCTAATCCTAAAGTAAACCTCAAGTCGATCGCCCCAAGCTCCCAACTTTGGGGAAATCCCCAAAGTTTGGGGAAATTTAGGAGAATTCTGGGGAAATTTTAGGGGTTTTGTGTCATTTCCCCAAAACTTACAATAATGGCTTCCCCAAAATATGCTCAATTTTCCCCAAAATTGGCAGCTTGGGGCGTTACATATATTTATCTAAACTAGTCAGACATTGCATTTTTAATAAAATTACTTCATTCATATAGCTACAGAGCAATTTTGAGTAGTAACCGACGTCATTTCGTGTTAAAGCCTTGACCCCTTTCGCCATTTTTTAGCAGTAACTAGGGCCAATATAAGGAACTTAAGATTCTTTTGCGTCCTTATAAATATTTAAAAAGATAAGCAGTCTATTTCCATGAGGGCAATTTGATGTTTTTTCATAGTTTCAAGTTAAATGACCTGTGAAAAACGTCAGTAGATTTAATGTTTACTTAAGACCGGTTCACGCTAGCAATACTATCGTTTTTTTCATGGACTACCCATTAATAAACGTCTTTTACAATTGTCTAAAAACTGTATTTTCAGTTCTAATCTTGTCCCCAAAGTGTGCCTTTGCTCTCATGTTGAACTTATTACTTTTCTATTGTTACTGAAATATATTTGAATGTATATTTGAATCATCGAGCAGAAATTAGTGAGGTTAGATCAGATATCAGATATCTTCATAATTTAGGACGACCTCCAATAAAATATTAGTGATATATGAATTTTGGCGATTCACTAACAGAACAAAAAAATGAATAAGGTTGTTTTTAGATAAACATCATCATATATCAAGTGTCTAACCAATACATCTTAAAATATGATAATCATAATGTATAAAAACTTATTACCCAGTACTCTAATGATTTTGTTTTCTAGAATCAGTTGACTACCACTTTGATAATTTCCTTTCTATCATATATGGTTCATATTTGAATCCTTTTCTGTCATAATCGACTTTTCAAATAAATTTCATCTGTATATTCTTTGTTTTTTTTTCGAGTATTCTCCGCCTTTTTCAATATCATTCACAGAACTTATTGCCTTTGCAGTTTTAACTGAAAATGACCTCGTTTGATGCCGAAAAATCTGTAACTGATGTAAGTTTTCTTTATTATCCAGTATTTTACATTTAACTTCACCAAGTCTTCCTTTTTGACTCGAAATTGACCGTCTACTTTTCATTATTTAACTAAAACTGTATCTTAAGCAGAACTCTGTTACATTTGCTTTTGTTGTGCACCCAAATGATCCATTTTCTCTGTTGATATCGGTTATTTTTCGGACGTATTATACAGAAAACCATTGAACACAATACATTGCATGTTAATCCTACCATAGTTATCGGTTTCATCTTTGTCCTTCCTGGGTTCCACACAAAAATATCTATGAAAATGGCCAAACAACCCCCCATTTGATAACTCCGTCTTATACTGTTAAGTCGAAAATGTGGCGCATATATATCTGGTGCCCCTTGTACCAATATTTATATGTTCAGATAAATAAATAGTTAAGTCGAAGGACTTCCCATAAAAGCTCGCTGTGCTCAACCTTTATAGCAAACATAAAACAGTCACCACCTAGAACCTGGTACATATCTACGTCGGTTCAAGTCACCATATCCCATTAGCACAGAGAAATTTTCAGGTCAAATCCCAGAATATTAGAGGTAATAACAGTATGAATGGTAATGGTAAAGATTAGGCATCGAAGATACGATTCAGGAAAATATAAGTTAGTGAAATAAAAGAATAATTGTGAAAAATTTAGAATCTAAGAATCTGGGGGAGGACAAAGGACCTACTTACAATTGATTGATCACTAGTTAGTGACCAATGTCATGTGTGTCGGGTCTTCCTTAGTGGAGATCAAATTCTACCAACCAAGTTGCAATGTGGCCACTAGTCACATGCAAGACAAAGAGAAAATGCACCTGCACCACTGCAAGCGATTTTGAGCCATATCATCCAAAGTCTCTAACCGACGGTTACGAAAATCATGCGGACCCTAACCAGGTAGTCTACACCTATTAACATGGTTCAATCCAGTTGTCGATGACTTCATTGATTGGCATCATGTTTTTGTTTGGCCATGCCTACCTTCCTTCTAGCCTACTCCTGCACCAGAAAACACCACCAGACGAGGTATGCGGTGGTCGGCCATACATAACACATCCCAATCATCTCAGTTGACGAAGATTTACAACCTCATTAGTCGATTTCCCGTATTCACATAGTATCCTGTTCCAAACTCGGGCATTGCGTACCTCGTGGTCCTAAATTACACGAGCGATACTTCGTGGACTTCTGTGATCGAAAACCAGTAGCCTACAAATATCCTCTACTCTTAATGTCCATGTTTCGCATCTATGAAGTAGAACAGTGAAATGCACAGTAAACTCGTCCTTTGTTCCGTAGACGGATATATCACCTACATCACAAGTGATGCAAGTCGATCAAAGCAGAAGGAGCCTTCCGAACCCGTGTCGAGACTTCGTCACACACCGAACCATGAAGACTGAAAAGACCTCCAAGATGAGTGATGTGGTCGGTGCGTTCAGTCACTTCACTCCCTATCGTTAATTTGAGCGCTCACGCAACTCAATTCCAAAGCGACATTTTACATTTGGAAAGGAAAAACCCCATCCCATACATGTTTGCATTGTTGCTTACGGTGGTCGGAAGACTGCATTTTGTAAACCAGTCAATCTCCTGGCTGAACATCGGTCCCTGAAAAGTCAGATGATAAAAGCGTTTTCTCTAAAAGCATGTTTATGAAAAGGTTAAATACAAATAGGGAGAGGGGAAAGCTCTGACAAACATCAATCGAAGTAACCGAATTCAATGACAGTTCTCCATAAGCTCTGACGCGACTAGTAGTGTTTGAGTGGCGAGCACTTACAATGTTAATGTACTTCTTAGGTACGCGTTTTAATCGCAGACACTGCCAGAGAAACTCATGATCAACAGATTCGAACACTGCCTTCAGGTCAAGGTATACAACTAAAGTTGGACGTTGGGAAGAATGTCTACGTTCCAGAATCTGCCGAATAGTAAATATTCAATCTATGAATATACGTCTGTGTCTGAAACCAGCCTGGTTCTCTTGCGTTTGCTATTCGCGAGATCTAGTTAGACGTCGAAGTATTATTGAGGCAAACATTTCTGATGCTATATTAGTTGAAGTGATTCCTGTGATTGTCATGAGATGAATTTTGTCCTTTCTTATAAACTGAGATCGAAGCCAGTTAGGTGGGATTACGTTGAGTTCCCAGATTTTGGCTAAGATAGTTAAACTAACTGCTAAGACTTGACCATCATCCTTAAAATTATCAGGGGTTAGTCCATTGGTCCATCAGACTAGTGGTGGGGATGGTTGGAAGTTGTAGGGGCAAACCAAAATGTGGTATCAGTCCACAAAGTCACTAACTTCTAGTCTGATCCATGTTGGTAAATGCAGACTACTTGGTTGTGGTCCGCGACTATCGTAACTAGTGGTTGGAGACTCTGGGTGACATGACTATTAGAAGCGGTATGAGGGGGTTGTCACTTCCTGGTCGCTTACACCGTGGAAGGATAGTTAATCTTGAGGGACATGGAGATACTGAATTAGTGGCGGTTCTGGAGACCTGTATATGTGGCCGCAGTGCCCAAGGGACGACTGCTTGAAGTTTTTGAATGCATTAGCTCCGCAGTTCGAAAGGCTCTACCACCGGAGACAAAAATCCATGGGGTAAGGTGAAGTGTGACATTTTTCTAGAGTGTGCCTTTTCTAATAAGTCTTCTTGTGATTATTAGAATGCAACTTATGACAAATTTTTCATCTGAAAATCTGTACTCATGAGCTTCTCATTCTTCTTCTATAGAATATTCATACTTTTAGTCTCTTTCCGTATGAGCGATTCTTAGAAGCCTTCCGTATTTGTAATTGACTTCAGTTTTAACTTTTTGAGAAATTCATACTATTGTTTTAGGTTGTAGACACAAAACAAGTCAATTCCTTATTATTATTCTCCTATCCCTCGTCTTGTTCCATCGAAATTTATGATGAGGGACAGTTTTATCGAAAATTGCCCGTTCACAACAAATAATCCAAGAAAAGAACTTTGAATGATAAAGTCTGTTATATACTCACTAACTTAATTCAGTCGTGTCACTCTGAATGGTTCTTTAGTCCAGTTCCATGTAGAATGGGTCAAATATTGAACCTTCTGTCGTCCTATCGAGTTATTGTCATCATTTACTTTGACTAGACATGTAACTCAAAATTTAGTGTTCAAATATAAACCCAACTTCTTAGTTTCATCATTTTATTGTATAACTCATTGTTAGTCTCTTGGTTGGCATTACCAAATATTTACAATCACATATACGCTGAAAGCTAAAGGATAGAACTTTCTGTGACAGACAATTTTCAGAAAACAAAGGAAGGGCAACAATCCTAGCGCTATAAAGTCAAGCTAATTTGATAGTATTATCAACTAAGCTTATTCGTTCCAGACAAAAATAACAATTTTTTAAAAATAATTTATTAATTAGGAAACATAATCAGTATGGTTAGAGCCATGCTTTTAATAATCTTAATGGAAAGCTTAATTTTGACTGAACATTAGCTACTACACTCACATGTTTATTTAATCTTATACATTACAACAGCACCATTATGTGAATAGTCTCATCAAACATAACTCCGATTATCATTATCAAAATGTATAGTGAATACTTTATCAACTCAAAATATTTCAAACTTTATCCTTTAATTACTGAATGTGTTACTTTCATATAATTTAGCCGAATATCGAGATACAATGGGCTGAACATTGTTTCCGTGATGCAGAAGATTATTTTCGCTTACTTTGTTCAGTCTCTGACCCCTCACAATTAAGACTGACTGCCATAGATGATTTCATATACGACAAATTTATGGGAGAGTTTAGTGATATACAATTAGACGTTATTTCTGAAGATTCTTTGAAATCGGAGCAATCAAAAGCAGTAAGTCCCTTATTAATTTATATCAGTTATCCACAAACGTGATCATTATCGAAGGAATTTCTAAGTTAACTATGTGTTGAATCCCTGTAGTTACGATCACTCTAGAAACAAACAAATATTCGAGTATAACTGAATTCCAAAGTAGTACATGTATATACTTTGTGTAATTGTGGCGCACTATTCAAACTTAAGGATTAATTTTTTATGGTTCATAACACATCTCATCTATTTTCGGTGTCATATAACATTACTGTCTCACCAAGCTCAATATTTTGTGAGTGAATTTTGTTTAGTATACTTCAGTTTTTCTGGATACTTGCCATATTTCAAAAAACTAAGAGATAAGCTGTATATCAGCCTATAGATATATTTAACCTTCGACTTTCATAATCTAACTAAACTTTTTAGTTTCTAAAGAGTATAGTGAGGAAAATTAACTCCATACCAGTGTGTACTCGCATGGTAGATGTATAATTCTTAAAAACTACTATTGTTTTCGATTATTTTGTAGTCTGAAAGGGTTAGGAGTTCCTTTTCTTTTAAGTTCTAACTGAAGAAAGATGTCAATCCATCCTTAGAATTTATCGAAATTGTAATATATATATATATATATATATATATATATATATATATATATACTCACTGACTTCCATCAAAAGCTCGACCTTATTTCCCGTTTGATTTACTCTGACACATATCTGCTGTTGATTTATGTATTCTAAACGCTATGTCGAGCAGCAGATACACCGAACATCGTTACTACAGTGACTGAAAAAGTCTTAGGAATTAACTACGTTTTTGTATCTTTGTTTTCCCTACAATCGCGTAATGGAGTTATTCTTGATCCTTTAGAAATGGCGACCATTTTGCAATGAGTTTGAAAGGAAAATTGAAGATTTCAACTTCGGTACTTTATTGAGACTTGATGCCTCAAAAGGATACTGTCCAGAAAACACCTGCATCGGTAGGATATTTTTCTATTTAAACGTTTTTTGTACAGTTCCTAGAATACAGTTCCTTGCCTTAGAAATCGCACGTAACCGCCTTGGGATCAATAACACTGAGAAGCTCAGACAAATACAGGGATAAATTTGTACATATCTTGTATATTTTTTCCATAAAACTTTGTAATTGGCCTTGTTTAAAGACTTTATTGGGATTTTAAAGATGATGAATCGAAGCTCACTACATGTATGAATATTTTTTAATAACATCAAAAACAACTACGCTACTGATCACCATACCTTGCTAATCAACCTTATAAATAATTATTCCCACATTACTTTATTCATCGAATAAGCTCTTCTACATTACAACTACTTAATAGGTAAATTATTGATGTAGATAATTTATCACCTCTTTGTTCCAGACTCAATTCTACGTGCCTGATAATGCAATTGTGACAAAAGCAATTAAAATCGAGAATTTTGGACCAATAGTATTCTGCTCGCTGTTATGTTAAGGATCCCATCTCGCATGAACTCTCGAGTGCATATCGCTGAACCGGCACGATAAAGCTGCCTAGTGTTTTATATCCTAGGAGATACCAGTCGTCTGTAAATCAACTTTAAAATCTCAGAAGACATCTTGCTAGGTCGTACTTCTCTTCATGGTTTTCTGCATATTGTCGCTGATTATTTGATTCTGTCATACCATCGATGATGAAATGTAGGTCAGTATGTCTTGAGGACGACTTGTTTAAAGTAATCAAATCGGGATGATTTCTAAGCACTAACCAGTGACTATAGAGAAATTCTATGTATTTAGTAATTACGAAGTTTTAAAATAACAGGTCTGGTGTTTTCCTCATACTACCTATTTGTAATCCACTAAAGACCAAGTGAAAATGCGAGCGCTACCCTTATTCAAAACAAATGATCATAATTAAAACCATCTCACGGACTACCAACAACCCAGAATAAAAGCTAATAGCTTGATTCACTAATGACTGCTCTTGGTTTTTTCTTAACCTTATTCCTATCCTAACGATTTATGGTCATACAAAGCACATATTCCTGTTACTGTAGTCGATGGTAAGTTATAGAGAATTAGTCGATTGGATCCCCATTAACAGTCGGTTATGTGCTGTTAGATTAGAAAGTTCCATCAAAGTGAGAAGAAATCGGCGTGAGAAACGATGTCTTTTCGTCATCTCCGCCTATGCCCCGACAGATTGCAGCCCGGATGCAATCAAGGATGAGTTTTACCACCAGTTATCAGTTCTTCTCCAGAAAGTGCGTTCGACAGATATTGTAGTACTAGCCGGAGACTTGAATGCTCAGGTCGGGCGTCTAGGCACAGAAGAGAGTCGTTGCACAGACCACAACCTGTTTCTGGCTAGCACTAACTTTCGGCACAGTCATCGCCGATGTGCCACCTGGCGTCCTCCCTCTGCATCTCAAGCCTGGACTCAGATTGATCACATCGCGATCAGCTACCGCTGGCGTGGTTGTGTAAAGACTGCCGCTCCTTTTGGAGTACCTATCTGGACTCTGACCATGCCTTGGTCTGCGCCAATCTTGCCTTACTTTTCAGTGGACAACGAAGTGACCACCACCAAAGGATTGATGTTAGCAAGCTGGTTGCAACTTCTGTTGCAAGTAAGTATCGAACCGAGCTAGCCTCTAGGCTAGCTACCACTCCACCGAAAAGTATAGATGAGCATTGGTTGCAATTGCATGACGCCATGAAAATGGCGGGAACAGTCAGTTGTGGGTTTGCGAAACGTCCCGCTTTTAAGCACTGGGTTTCTTCTGGTTCCTTACAACTCATTGAAGCCCGTCGGTCTACTCCGGGTGACCGTGAGTTTGACCATAAACGAAGGATGTTACGTAAGGAAATTGGGCAAAGCTTGCGTAAGGACCGAGAAGCCTGGTGGTCGATGCGTGCTAATGAGCTGGAAGCAGCAGCTGCATCTGGTAACTACCGGAAGCTCTTCCAGCTCATCCGAGCCACTGGCAGCAAGAAGTCTGGTGTGAGTGAAACAATCTGCGAGGATGATGGGATGCCAATCACTAACATCCATCGACGTCTTGGACGATGGGCAGAATTTTTCGAAGGGCAGTTCAACTGGCCTGCTGCTCCGGCAACATCGGTCAGACTGTCCTGCCCTCCATGGCCGGTGACGACTGATCCACCAAATGAGGAGGAAGTCCGCAAGGAACTCCAACTCTTGAAGCGTTACAAATCACCTGGCCCAGATGACTTACCTCCGGCTCTTTTTAAAGATGGTGGTGACTTTTTGACTAAGGAATTGACGACGTTGTTTACAAAGGTTTGGGAACTAGAGTGTGTACCAACGTCATGGAATGAGTCGATAGTTGTCCCTATCTTTAAAAAGGGTTCACGTCGTTCCTGTAACAACTATCGGGGGATAAGTTTACTTCCGATTGCGTCCAAGCTATTGGCTTCCGTCATTCTTCGTAGGTTGTTCAAAACCCGAGAAAGATTGACTCGCGAGGAGCAGGCTGGGTTTCGTTCTGGTCGAGGATGTATTGATCATATCTTCACCCTCCGCCAAATGTTAGAACACCGCCATACTTATCAAAGGCCAACAATCGTAGTGTTTCTTGACATCAGGGCTGCCTTCGATTCGTTGGACAGGACTGTTCTCTGGGATTGTCTATTGAAGAAGGGTGTGCCTGAGAAGTTTATTAACATCCTGAAAGCCCTATATAAAAACACCTCAGGCAGAGTGAGGGCATACAACCACCTCTCTCCATTGTTCCATTCGAGCAGTGGGGTTAGGCAGGGTTGCCCAATCTCACCATTCCTCTTCAACTTTGCCATCGATGACATTCTGGAAACAGCTCTGATGAATGTAAGTAATGGTGGTGTGGATCTGTTGCCTGGAGAAAGACTTCTCGACCTTGAGTATGCGGACGATATTGTCTTACTGTGCGATAATGCCCAAGGCATGCAATCCGCACTTAATCAGTTGGCAATCAGTGTCCGTAGGTATGGTATGTGCTTTGCACCTTCGAAGTGCAAAGTACTTCTACAAGACTGGCAGGATTCTAATCCTGTACTCACCCTGGATGGTGAGCAGATAGACGTAGTTGAGAAGTTCGTGTATCTGGGTAGCTGCATAAGTGCTGGTGGGGGTGTGAGTGATGAGATCAATGCACGAATAGTGAAAGCCAGAGCGGCTTATGCCAATCTGGGCCACCTTTGGCGCCTTCGTGATGTTAGTCTGGCTGTAAAAGGTCGGATCTACAACGCGTCGGTGAGAGCAGTTTTGCTCTATGCTTGTGAAACCTGGCCTCTCCGAGTTGAGGACGTTAGACGACTCTCTGTGTTCGATCATCGCTGTCTCCGAAGGATTGCTGACATTCAGTGGCAACACCATGTCAGTAATGCAGAGGTTCGGCATCGTGTGTTCGGGCACAGAGATGATAATTCAATTGGTGTCACCATCTTGAAACACCGACTTCGGTGGCTTGGACATGTTCTCCGAATGTCGTCCCAGAGAATTCCACGTCGTGCATTATTTGCCGACTCTGGGACTGGTTGGAAGAAGCGGAGAGGTGGTCAGTGCATGACATGGTGTCGTGGCATGAAAGAAAGCTGCAAAGGACTGGCTTGTGTTGGTCCTTCACGACTCCCTGGTTGGGGTCCGAGAGATGGTGCTACACAGTGGCTAGAGACGTTATCAGATATGGCTCAGAATAGAAGCCAGTGGCGATCCTGCTGTAACCTTCTTTTACTTTCTTCATAAAAAGTGGTTGTGTCTCCTTTACCTGAAAGATTTCTTCTGATTGTACCTTTTCGTTCCGTCGTTACTACCACACTACCTTACTCCAATCTCTTCGTCATTGTTCTCTTTTTCTTTTGCGCTCCTAGTTTTTTTTTCTACTTCTCTTCGAATTCTCATTGTTTTGTGTGGCGCATATATATTGGCGCTCTCTTGTACCAATATTCATGTGTTCAAATAATAATAATAATAATATAGAGCATTACATATTGTGGTAATTGTAATTATTTGAATTATTACACAAATTAGCAATCCCGGAAATGACGCGATTTAGACCAAGAAAAACTAGATGAGTACTAATGGACGTATTGTATTCAGAATTCAAAATCAGGCGGACATCATTAGTTCATACAAACACCGATCCGCCACAGCTTAAATGTCTGTCCGATTGTGTACTGGACGTAAACTGTGTGATCTAGAATATACTCATCAGTATTAGAATTAACAACTGAAATTGGAACAGGCTCACCTAGGTCCTGGAATTGTATACAATCGCCATGTCGGTTGTGTACTGAAACCACTGTTATCTAGAATTCGAACCGTAGATTTTTCAACACTATCTCCCCATACGAAATAATGTTGGATCCTCATATCCCCAAGTTAAGAGTAATGTGGTTTCCTTTAAAACATATTTCTCACATTGATTAGAGGATTCATTAGAAGTAACTTCATGATAAGTATGAACAACATTCGATATGAAATCACACGAATTGTAATCAAAATCGAGCTCCTTTAGGACTCGTGCTTCGCATTGAACAACTTTCCCACAAGAAACAAATGCATTATGAGGACAAATAATGTTTGATATAACATTAAGATTTGATTCTTCTGAAGTATTTTCTTCAACTCTATTAAGAATATCATTGGAAATTAATGGATCATTAGAAAATCAGCAACTATCGAAACTGCATCGGATTTTCTATCATGATTTGATCCATTCAACGCAGATTTGTAAGAGACTTCATCAAAACAAACCATATATGGTACAATAACATGAGATTTGATGCACTCGACATATATGTAAATAATTTCATTAGAAATACAGGAAACATGAGAACATCGCATATCTGGTAAAATAATATCATGAATCTGACCATAGTATGATTCATTTGAAACATTCAACTTAATAGGATCAGAATCGCTGAGCTTAGCATGAGTAGCAGCGAAATAAACCCTAGTATTACAAACTGACCGAATATATCCAATCTAATCACATCTGAAGCATTTAGAATTACGAAATTAAATAAGTGAAACTTGCTATAGAACAAGCATTTACTTAACTTGCGCTCATCTTCGTGACCTACTTCGCAACTTCTCAATGAATTTTCCGAATAACCTTGATTACGCATGGGACTGGGACGACGAAATGGAATTGCTGATGTTCCGACGAATCATTTTACGAAATTTGTATACTTTACATGGTCTAGTAGTAGTTCCTTGTGAGTTGCATAAGGAAATGAAATAGGCTTTTCTGGAAATGCCCGTTTCCAATAAGTTGTATGCTTCTTTTCCAATGATTGTAAGGAAATGAGCCACAATATTAACATCCTCAATACCTTCCTTGGTCATAGTCCACGTTTCTAACCTTTCCATATAATCCTCAAGAGCATCAAAATCTGAATGTATGTCCAACTGTTCCATCACAAAATTCTGCTCGCGGCACCAATGTGGTGATTAGAAGTATTTGAATTATTATACAAACTAGTAATCCCAGGAATGACGCAATTTAGACCAAGAAAAACTAGATGAGCACTAATGAACGTATTGTATTCGGGTACAAAGAAATAATTAGTCCATACAAACATCAAATATTTTAGACGAAGATACAGTGATTTGCATATAATCAACGCGCACTACTCACCAGCTGCACATTAAAGCCCCTAAAATTGCACTCCATATTACATCTAGGTAAAATTTACTAACACTGTCGACCTGTGTTGTCTAACAGTTGAAGACCCTAAATCAATGCCCTACAAACGTAAATCAAAACAGGGTTTCGGACAGGTCTACGTTGGCCTATGTTCTTAAACTAGACAAACACGACGATATGAAAATAACGAAAATTGACGTAACGTATTAACAATGATAAATGCAGGTGCTTTAGATCTAAAACAAGGTTCGGGAAGGCGGAGTAAAAGGGTTTGTATGAAAAAATACTAACAAGATCGAGAGGAAGATGAATGGAGAGATCCGTACCATCATGAATGGATCTGTGCTATATCGCCAGAAGTTTCCAACCATTGATTGCGGTGATCACTCAGACCCTTACCAGGTAGTCTACATCGACTAATCTGGCTCAGATTAACAGTCAGTGACTTTATGGATTGATGTTGCGTCTCAATTTGACGCCCCTAGTCCTCAACTTCTGCACCAGCAAGCATCGCTTGTCGTGGTTAAGCATAAGTAGCTCACGTCCAACTTCGACACTGCTCACCCGGTTGGCCCATAAAAAACGAGCGATCCTTAGGAAACACCTATGACCAAAAGCCTTCAGTTTAACGGTCTTTCACTCCAATCAACCATGACCCCTAGGCAAGCATTATTAGGGTTTGTAATCCACTCGTCGTATTCAATAAACCGGGTTCCCTGTGGCTATTACAAGATTCTTCACTTGTTGAATATTTGAAAATCATCTGAGCTACCTGCCCTGCACATCCTGACCCCATTATATATAAGTGGATTGGTTGAACACTATGTAGCTGATATTTTCTCATCTCGCTTTCGCTGGCCACCATAGGCTTGGATCTGTTTTGCAACTCCAATATTTATTGATACATCAAAGGCTTAGTAAATTACAGTGCCTGCTAGCAGCCAACATAGCATCGCCTTGGGTAATTTTGAAGGAAACAGTAATAACTTAAGCCATATCACATTCGCATACATATACATAAATAACGCTACGCGTTATGTCATACTAATAATAACTAAGGGACGAATTTTATCTTACGTTGAAGTGTCCAGAACACTACACAACCTGTCGTATTGCATGTTACAACAAATACGCGTATGGTACAAAAAAGAATGCTCGGTTTTCTACATGAAATGAGACGTAACGAAAGTCATTTATCTATTTTATTGAAAAATCCACCATAAAAACAAAGTAATACGGAATAATACACGCACACAGGGAAACGAATTCATAAGAGCGAAGAAAATGCCCTGATAAATCTAGCGGATTAAAACAATTAAATGCTGTTCAAAATGAGGTTATACATTGAAGGCAAGGATTTTGAAATTAGATCTTTTAAGTTTTGATTACGATCCAATTCAAACCATCTTGGGCGACAAATCAGCGCATACGATAGTTAAACATTTTGTCGATCGACGAAAGTTCTCCTACGAATTCTACTTTGATGTTGATATCAAGATCACGCTACAATAAGGAATAAACAAGCAAAACAATTCCCCCTTGACGAATGGCATTTTTGAGCTTACCACAAACAAAAATATTAGACAGTAAGTATGACAAGTATAAAGTGAATAGAGAATCAACTGTAGCAGTGTGAATTGTTTATTTCATTTATCTGCTTATACATCTTACTTGTTAGATAAGCACTATTGTTCGGTTTTGAAGTGACTATTGATACATGTAGTGAAATATTTCATTATACGTTGAAAAGTATCTTCAGTACATTATTATTTCAAACCCTTTCTAGTCCACAGTAAATCAGACATCATAAGCACACTGAATCAGAACTTAAAACTTAGTAAGAAAATCCAGAAACTCACTGAATATGAAATCATCAGAAATTATATTATGATCGATAATGCTGAATAAATCTGTTCACTATTTCCTGATGATGTTGAAAAATATACAAGTGTGACGCATTGTTTGATGGAGGTACAATACTACGGGACTCAGAAAAATAACATTAACAGTTATAATCTAAAATTAAATCAACTCACGTTATTTCGTTCATTCGGTTTAATAGACATCACACCGTTGATATGTTCTCCTTTCTTGACAGTTAGACAGTCATCGTCGCCATTATCGAGATAAAAAACTGTTTGTTTCCAATGTGTGTAGCGGCGCTCATCAGGACCTTGTTATGACAAAAATATGTTATTAACGGCCTTAAATTAGTTAAGAAATGAAGTATTGAAAAAGGAAAGTAATTTGGGGATAAAATAGAAAAACGCTGTTCAGACATACCTTTCTATTTTCACATCAAGGAATGCACGACCGTTTTTTAACGGATTAGGTATAAAACTAAAGTATTTGAGATCCAGAGATGTTTTACGCACTAAGGGTCAACGGTGCCAAGTTAGTCGATATAGACTACCTGAGTGGTCACCGCGATCAACGGTTGGAAAATTCAGGTGTAGCACTGAGTCATTCACGATGGTGCAGATCCCTCCAGTAATCTTCCTTTCGATCAAACTCTTTTGCTCCGTCTTTCCGAACCTTATTGTCGATGTAACACGTTATATCAACTTTTTCATTATTTTCGTCTCATCATGTTAATTTAGTCTGAGAACATAGATCAACGTCTATCTGTTCGGAGCTCCGTGTTAATGTCTGAAGTAGAAATTCAATACTTTGGCTAGTCAGTGCTATTTCAGTCGTTAGAATGTAGAACCCAACACATTGTCACACCACATTTGTGCAGGAGGCACCTTCGATATGAAGAATACCAATCTAAAATCTACGCAGAGAGATGTGTGGTTCAGTTATTAATAGAAACTATTATTTCCTTATTTAGGATCAATCCATATCTTCAATCGGTCTAGCCTGACCATCTGTAAATACGTGTGAGTTGAAAGTCTTATCGCTGTCTTCGAAAAAAACTTTGTCTTCTAACTCTGTATAGTTACTTTAGTTGAGCGTGTGTAGTAGATCAAAACAAAAAGCTTTATAAAGATAAATTATCTGTAATATCATGACTAACTGATGGATTGTGTTCGAATATTAGCGGTGGGTAGTGCTCGAGAACATAAGATGGCTTGTTACTGCACAGTACAATACTGAAACAGGAAACGTTTGTTAGTTCCAGTGTATAGCAGCTAGAGATCAGCCTTCCAGCATAACTATTTTGATTCTATTATTTAGATTACTATACTGTTAATTTAAGCTAACTTAGCAAAATTTCTAAAACTGATACTACAATGTTAGAGGAAGTATATTGAAGTCGAGATCTTTTTGGCATAACACACATATCACCTTAGTGTATAAAATTTATACCATAAATTGATCTCTCATCTTTACTCAACTATTTAAGCCAGATAGCTTAGTAAACCAATTGATCATTTTGAGGTAACGATTAAGATATATCTTAGGATAACTTGATTGCAGATCTACTTATGCTTAAAAATAAACAAAACATAATAAACCAATAAAGGGTTTCATAGAAAAGATGTGAACTAACCTGTTGAAAATCCTGTAGGTTTATGGCAAGAAGTGAAGTCTATGTTGAAAAACGTAACCAAGGCTTGAATATAATCATTCCTTTTGCAGGTAAGTGTAAATGGTGCACTGAATGTCAATTCGGGAACCGTGATGGTATACATGTCCACTTCCTTGACTAAACAGCAATTAGTCACAACTTGGTTAGGATCAACAACATCAACCAAAGGTTCTGTAAGTGCAACTTTTCTTATACAACTCATGTCAAAGCCGTACACGCTGTCCCACCCTACAAAAGGCACAAAAAATTCGATCACATTAATAACCAACATCGGTACTTCCTGAAATTAGTAACGTCCCCATCTGTGACGCAGTAATTACTGCTTATTCCTATCTCTGTCTTGGTATGATCCACGATACTAGATATAATCATCAACCAACTAACAGTGAAACTAACATATATTATTCAACAACGAAGCTGATGTATATATAAAATAGAGACCGGGAGTTTAAACATATGAACTTTATAGATATATAGTGAGTTCTACTGGACAAAACCATCGAAGACAAACACGTCCGATTGGAGACAAAAGATATGAAGTTGTTTGAAAATGAGATGGACTTACAGTTGATTTTTTCATCTTTGTACTGTCTATCTTCGATAGCGCACACATACAGGGTTGCACGATCAGGCATAATTATGCCACCAGGTGCCTGCGGAAAATGCAAAAAGTTCTGAGCGTCAGCAAGCATTATTATAAGACATTTAAATAGACAATATGGAGCAGCGGAAATCGGTACATGATTTCGGCTTGCATTTAACTAGACAATAATGGGTAGGACTTGAAAACTTGACGTTTTAATAACTGTTGGAAAATGTGAAATATGTAGCAGAGTGAGATGTCTTATCAAACTATTAAGTGACCTGTAACAGTTATCTTTTAAATTATAATGAATTCACTAAATCCGTTCCAGAACCAAGAAATTGGTCTCCTTGAATGCAGACGGTTTTTACCTACAACCTACATTTAAGCCAGCACTGGTGACGTCGCGTCATTAGATGGAATACGACAGCGAAATGAGCGTTACTCCTAGAGATCAAGTAAAAGGAGTGAAAACCAGTAAACAGGAAGATGTAGGTTAGTATATAAACTTACAAGAAACAGATTCGGAGTTAGGTCAATTTAGGAAACAAACAATTTGAATGCCGTTTAATTATTTGGAAGACTCAGGCTGTTGGAATTTGTGAAATCTTATTTACTAGTAATTGCTAGATGGAAATTGGTGAACGCTACCAAATATAGTAGATACACGTCCTACCTTAACTGTTCATCAAAATATGTCGTCATATGAACTTGTTGCTTGACAGATATATCAATGTACTCACTGGAGTAACATCCATACAAATAAAACAGCAAACGCAACTATTTCGAGAACGGAATTTCATTAAGTTAAACTAACACTACAACAGCACTTGGAAACGTAAATATTTCTAGTCCTTGTAGTGTAGTACATGGTTAGTTAAGTCTGTGGATATCAAAAGTTTTTACAGTTAAAGTTTGGATTTAGAACGACAAGAACTCCATGAGTTGGTTAGGTAGTACTTAGTAACAAGTGATAGTCACACTTAGAGGCTTGGTTCCAACCAAAAAAATGGAGAATTTACTTACCAACCATTTGTCTCTGGCATAAATAACAGTATTCAACATTGACTCGTAAAAAAGACAATAACCCATCCATTCACTTATGACTATATCGACCTTGGGGTACTCCGGAGGTAGTTCCACTTCTTCTACTTTACCTTTGATCAGAGTGATACCTGTAAAGATGATAAACATAGAATGTTAGATACCTCAATGGGGCGGTTATGCATATTCCTAAACTACAACTTGACTTACGGTCCGCCATATTGTTAGCTCGCACGACTTCCATTGCCCGGTCAATGATGTTGGAACAATCAATCTAAAACTAATATGGACCAGAAATGCAATTACTCCAATAGCATGTTTGGCTCCAGCTTTAATTGCAAACAAACAGAGGATGGCAGTCCCACAACCAACATCAAGCACTACCTTATCTCTTACGAGGTGTTTGTTGTGAATTAAAGCACTGCGATAGGTGAGTGTTCTGATTTCATCCTTTAACATTTCCTAAAACATAATTCTCTGTATCTTAATCACGTACCTCATGAATTCCGAAATGCGCGTACGAGTCAAAATAGTAGTCCTTTGAAGTCATATCTGACGATTCGGTGTTAGACTCACATGATGTGCCAGGGGAACACTCATTTTTATCACCAGCCCCATTTTTCCCGTTCATAGTGAAACGAAACTACCAAAAAAGGACTAACAAAACAACCACGCGCGACGACCCACTATTGGTTGCGCGCCGTTATCAGTGGTCAGAAACAAATCTAAGTTTCAAAACTCAAACTTAGCAAGACAAGAGAAGAGAACGATTTATCTATCGATATGTGTCTGGGTAATATGAAATAGGTTTCGATCACAGACATGTATGATTTTGTTGCTTCACTTTTGAGTCTGAAGTGAAATTATGAAATGAGTGATCTAAGCGTAACACAAGGTAACCTCCGTCAGTACCTGCCAAATTAAAGTAAATGTAGAATTTATTTTCTGAACGACTCAGCACAGGGGAATATGCTAAGTATGGTAAATGATGGTCATATTCCTCTGACCCTTCTGTACCACAAGGGTTGGAAATTCGATGTCACTAGGCGATCTCAACAAGTCTTACCTTTTAGTACAAATAGTCTATCAAATATATCTTCTAACTTCGTGGCTTATGACTTCTGATTTCACTGGGTTGGCACACTTCTCATTCATTGGTAAACTTTATATTTAAAATAACGGAACAGACTCCTAAGTTATTTAATAACACAACTCATTCACGAACCATATTTCAGCCAAAGCCATTTTAGTCTGACAACATTGAGGTTTGGTGCTGTCACGCAGAGGCTGAATTCCATGAGCACGGCTTAACCAACTCACGTGCACATCTCCTCGCAGTAGTGAAGGCACTATTGCGCAACTTCAACAGGTAGGTCACACCTAGGATGTTTACCAGTGATTTTTCGGAACCTTATGAAACTTTAAAAAGAGCTATTCTTGAGCGCAGAGATGTAACCGAATGACAAAGATTAGATCAACTCTTAAACAACATTGATCTACGGCATGACTCAGCAACAGACGAATGAGAGAGGGCATTAGTCGATGGGTCTTTGACGAAGGCCTGTTAAGACAACTTTTCCTGTCTAAACTCCCTTAACAAGTGAAGACGGTGTTTGTCCCGCTGTAGACTAACTGGCTCCATCTGCCGGTCGAGTTAAGGAGACCATCAGGACTTTTAACGCCAACGTTCCTTCAGTCAAAGGAAAACGTCAAACGACACGAAATGACGTTACGGAACTTAGTCATACTCTGGAACGTTCCCTTCGTATTCGTCATGGCCGTAAACGATCACAAACCTCTCGAGGGAGCTCTTCACGAAAACAATCTATCTCTAGATTACGAGGACAGATAACCCCGACCTGTGTTGATGTCATAATCAGTGCGGGAAATCTCGAAATTGCAGAAAACCCTTCAGTTCCCCGATCCCCAAACCGACTGACACGAAAAACGCTTCGGGAAATTTCCCAGCCGGCAAGCGTCAACGAAAACCATAACCGGTGAACATAGCCGTCTGTTATACGTACTGATGTAATTACGAAAGTCCGTGGCCTCGTCGACACAATTTACAGGAGGCAAATGGGAAACAGACCGTCACATACATCTTAACGCGGGGTTACACATACCCAACAAATGAACCTTCGTTGTTGCAGATGTGTTCCGTGCCGATCATTGGTGTAGACCTGCTACAATATTACCATCAACCCATCGACACGCGCAAACAGTTAGCGGACGGATGCTGATTTATCTGCTTGTGTGACTTCTCTTTCCGATTGTAGATTATCGCCAGTCACAGCGAAATATGCGATCGATCCGTACTACCAACAAATACCCGATAAGTAATCTGAGATATGTCACATGCATTCGAAATTGCCGTGTGTAACCAGCAATGTTAAACGTCATATCACGACAACAGGACCATCTGTATTCTTGAAAGCACGCTGACTGGCTCCTGAAAAGCGGAGATTGACTAAAGACTAATTCGATCACATTGTAGATTTGGGAATCATTCGGCCGCCAAATAGCCCATGGGCATCTTTACATATGGTCCCTAAAAATGACAGCAACGATTGGCGTCCAACTGGTGACTATCGGAGTTTGAATGGGTAAATCATTCATAATCGTTACCCGTTGCCTCATATTCATGATTTGATAGCTACCTTGAAATTTACAACTGCTTTTTCGAAAATCAAATTGGTTAAAGCATATAACGAAGTTCCCAAAGCTGCTGACGACACTCCTGAAACGCTATCATCACACATATCGGTCTCCGAGAATTTTCGCGTATATCTTTCAGCTTAAGAAATGCTGCACAAACTTTTCAGAGGTCCATTGATGACGTTTTTCGAGGCATAAACTTCGTACTTTCGTATGTTGATGACTGCTTGATTTCAAGTCCGGACAGAGAGTCTCACCCTCAGCGTCTGTACATTTTTGTCGAACGACCGCAAAAACATGGAATTACTGTGAACACTCAGAAATATCAAATCGGAACGGGCTCTCTTAATTTTTTTGAACATGTTATTAGTGTTCGAGGCATCTGACCTCTGAAATGCGAAGTGGCGGTCATTCTGGATTACCACAATGAAGCAACCACCCACGTTTAAAGACTAGTAAGTTTATATAGATGGTCCATACCGACTTGAGCATCTCTTATGAGACCTTTAACCGACTAACTTTCTGGGAATGTGAAATCTATCAGTTTGGACGATATCGTGAAAAAAACATTATCTACAGTTAAGGAGCTGATTACCAAAGCAACGCTACTTGCGCACCACAACACCCAAGCACCCATTAGTATTGCAGTAGACGCATCCAACTCGACAACAGCGGGAGTCTTACAACAGTAGGTAAATCACATTTCGGCAACATTTGGTATTCTCGAGACGTCTGTGAGCAAACAATGTAGTTGCGGACGTTTTGTCTCCTATAACGTTTTCCCATGAATCAACCTACTTAGACTCGTCCAGCTTCAAAAAGAAGACACTGATCTCAGAACTAGTTATCTTCCACAACCCTGAAACTACGGGTCAAACAGATGGAAACAGGCAAGGAAAGCTTACTATGTGGCACATCTACAGGCAGGGATCGTACAATCGTGCCAAAACATTATCGACGCAACGTCTTTAATATGTTGTGCAAGCTTTCTTGTTCAGGTGTTCGTGCAACCATCAAGCTCGCAGCAGAACTGTTCTACTGGCTTGGTATGAACAAAAACGTAGAAGAGTGATCGCGCCCTTGTCTTAGAACTCGTGAATCGTTCGTCCTCTTCAGTGAAAATGGATCTAAACTCCTACACGAGCAGAATCACAAACGCTCTGCGTTCAGTTAAACCCGTTTCCACACAACCAGAGTCAATTGATGCTTCTGTTCAACATGTCCCGCCATACAGTATACACATCTTTGTACGTCGCGACTCACTTTAACGACCTCTCGAAACAGCATATGAAGGATCCTTCAAAGTTTCGCATGAACCTAAATAATATATTATCGATCGTCTCAGAGTCGCGCGTTTAGAGGGAACCCTAATCATGTCGATTTTCCTTCAGTACAATCGAACGACATGAGTCTCACAATCATCCAGGAGAAAAGCAGTATTCGCCTGGATTATTTTATGAATTTGATTATCCAGAGGATGTGGCGTTTAAAAATCCAGTTTTGACTAACGGTATAGGTTTAAAAGGAATAAGAATAAGCACTCAGTATTTGAACTAATTTCCAGAGCTCAGTAATGCTGTTGACTTAGTCACTCGATTGATTCATCACAAGCCCAAGAGTCCAGATGAATACCTCGCTCTTACCGTATGAACAATTTAAAATGAGCCTGAGATTACAGAAACTGTGTAGCTTAAACTCATCGCAACTTCTGGAATACTGCCTCTTTTGTTCAGCAGTGAAACCCTAAAGTTGGAAATAAGGCAGGCAGTGGTTGAAAGAAAAGATATTACGGCATAGTCCATAGTTCGAAATAGAGTAAAATGTTAAGTAAAGAAACAGAATGAATTGGATCCACATAAATATCGGGTCCATGCTTAAATTGCTAGCTAATGTGTATTTGTGTCGATTAAGGGTCATATTTGCTAGTGGTTGATGTTTTAACAAACATATTTCAATGAAGCATGTAAATACTTCTGAAGCTTGTTAATCAACCATCATAGCTAGACATCAATATAGACGATCAGTCATTAGTATCGATTGAGTAAGTAAGCTATGAGCACCAATCAATACAACAATACAATACATGTGAACACTAATCAACGGACTACTAGAATGATGGGTTAACATAAGTAAAAGTCAACCGATTAAGTTAAAGTATGAAGACTAATGAAAAGCTGAATTCCTTTAGTTTGTCTCATCAGTATAGAATTATGGTCTAGTTCGATATTAGTACATTTGTCTTTGCCACTATAATAATAGATATGTCATAAAGTAACTACCTAATCTATAAGATCATTGTCTACAGTGACTCGTCCTATCGTGAAATCATCAGTATGACGTCTAGCACTCTCAAAGAATACATTCGAGCTGGAAATGGATTAATTTATTTGTTACAATAAGCTAGAGGTTATGAGGCCACGCTTGCATGACTGAGCTATGTTATTTTCCTTAATTGTTGCCGCGTCCACCACTGCTGACCTTCTCTTCGTGTTAAATGTTGAATATGAATTTTCTGTGTTATCTGACGTTTATCTTCGGAGATCGTGTGGGTAGAACTAAAAGCACTGCGGTATCACATGATCAAACGTTCATTATGTTTTGATTATTTGCCTCCGTGGGTGCATATCCATCAAATTTTAGTCTGTACAAAGGAATGATTCAGAATTCTGGAAGGTTTGGACGTTTTGCACCAAAGATCTTAAAAGGTGGAGAAAAAAATTGGTGGAAAGCCAATTAGAAACGATTTGCCTGAGTGAACTAAAATTGAGAAGGAGTAACTATGTTGAGACGGAATGAAAGCTTTCTCCTGCTCACCATGGAGGTCTGTGGGAGAGGATTATAATAATGTGGATCACCAACGTAGATGACCTATGTCAAATGATTGGAAGTCTACTCGAGTTAGACGGAAATCATGTGACGAACCAGCTAACTTAGAAGTCACACCTCGCGTTCAGCATCTAATATGAATTACCCCTTCGACGTATCAAATTTCTATGGCCGCTTTGAAGACAGTATAACACAAATGACGTTATTATGGAAATATATTAATAGGAATTAGTACAGGGAAGATAGCGAGACA